AGCTGGTGCCCAGAGGAGGTAATCTGGGGGCTCTTTTCTGACGGTTCCCTTGAGTTACAGCTCCTCTGGGTGAAAGGGATCTAGAGGGTGTCTAGGCCACCTACTCATGGATTACAGGTACTAATTGTCAGGTGTTCACTCTGTTTCTGTCAACACACCTTCCAGTCAGCTCTCAACTAGAAAAGGACCTACTTAAATATGAGCTGGTTCGTAACTGCTGACATGTATCACCGTCACAGTGTAGAAGGGGAGGTGTTGCTGTTCTGATCCTCCAGCCGGATCAGGAAAGCTGGGGGAGTCCGTCACGTTCGCTGACGGAATCAGCGAGTTGTTTTCAGGTCAGTCTTTATTTCCCCCTCATGCTCGCAGACTCAGGAAAAGAAAGAGGAATGGCTTGGCCATATCCAAGCCTTCTACAGACCTCTGCCTCTCCCAGGAATCTCCCCTGACAGCCCTGCCCACACTGGACAGTCTCTCCTCTGAATGCCCGTGTTTGTACTTCATGCTTTACGCGGCTATTTTATGTGTTTACGCCTTGTCATCCCAAGTCCTGGAAGAGTCAAGGTTTCCCAATATTCTGAGCCTACTACATCAGACTCATCAACGAAATAAAAGTCCTGCCACCAGATGGCACCAGAGTCTTGTCTTTGTTCTGAGAATCATATACCGTCAGCAATTTATTGCCAAGCTAGCCCTTAAAAATGTCTACCTTACTACTTAGCCAGAGAGGACTAAGTCTTGATAGAAGCTGAAACATGGATGGAACTGGAAGACCTGCTGAGTGCCAGTCACAACAGAACACTACAGTGTGTGACCTCACTTATATAAAAGACAAGAACAGGCAGATGTATAGAGAGCAAAGTTTATTGGTGGACAATGATTGTTGATGAACTTCTGTTTCAAATGCATAAAACCCTTCAGATTTAGAAACAGAAGTTTTTGAGTAATCACGAGTTGTCCTGTCCCAGTGTTTCCTGACTCTTCCCCCAACCACCCTGCTTTCACAGACTACTGGTCACTCCAAATCTGTTTGTTTTTTTTCTTCAATCATTTGATTGGAGGCTTTTACAGCTCTTGTTACAAACCATACATCAGTTGTATCCGACATATCAGTACATATATTCCGTCGTTCTTTTCTAGGCATTTACTTTCCATTGAGCCCTTGGGATCAGCTCCTCTTCTTTTCCCACCCCCCCACCCCCAACTCTGGTGGCACCTGATAGATTGTAGATTAATTATTTTCAAATCTCACTCTGACCACTGTCTTCCTTCCCCCTGGTTTCTGTTGTTCTTCCCCCTGGCTGAGGGTGTGCGGTTTTGTGCCATTCACTGCATTCCCCTCTCCCCACCTTCCCCCCACCCTTTTGGTATCTGTTCTCATTCCTGTTCCTGGGTTCCATGTATTGTGAGTTTTATCTTTTGCCTATACCACCTATGTACATGCTCCTGACTAGTCCAGATTGGGAGGCGTCACTGGGGTCGTGATAGGGGGGTGGTGAGTAGGCCTCCAGGAAACAAAGGTATATTGTGTGATCCATTAGTGCTCTACTGCACCCTGATTGACTCACTCCCTCTGTGGAGGGATGTTCCATTGTCCATAGATGGGCTTTGGGTGTCCGCTCCAACCCCTCTCCATTCTCAGCATTTTTGTTTGTTTACTGTTTGTTGTGAATCTTCTGATGCCCATTGCCCAGTCTTGATGACATCTCATGATCGCACTGGCTGGTGTGCTTCTTCCATGTGGGCTTGTTGCTTCACTGTTGGATGGCCCCTTGTTTAACTTCAAGCCTTTAAGACCACAGACGCTCTATCTTTTAATAGCTGGGCACCATCATCTGTCTTCGCCACATCTGCTTATGCACCCATTTTGTCTTCAGCGATCCTGTAGGGAGTGTGTGGGGTGAGCATCACAGAATGCCAATTTGTTAGAACAAAAGTGTTCTTGTATTGCGGGAAGGTATGAGCCGAGGCCCAAGGGCCGTCTGCAGCTTCAGGGTATTGCCTTATAAATAGATGTACATAGACAAATACCACTGTCGTTATGGATTAATGTATTTACATAAGTGCACACCTCTGTTAATCTCCGTATTTGTGCCTTTGCTTTGGCCTCCTCCTGGCCCGCCATCACTGTCCCCCTTGTTCCACCTCTGAGTGCTTTCTCTCCACTAGCGCGGTGTTGCTCTAATACTCACAGGATCTCTGCCCTCTCCTAGATGCTGGTTCCACTTCCCGAGTTGTTCCTTGTCCATGGCGCTGTCCGCTCACCACACTCTTCTTCCCACCTCCTTCTTCCCCCTCTACCTTCTGGGGCCATTGGCCCCATTGCCTTCTCCCCGGAGTTCCCTCCCATGGTCCAACCCATATAATTAGGCAAACCATCCGTGTCCTTGTCCGAACAATAAGAAAACATACGGTTGGAGAAAGAAAAGGAAAGAGAAAAAGATGAGAAAAGAAAAACAAACAAAACCCCTACATAGGTCCAGGTCAGTTTGCTGGTCCTCCTGGTCCTGAGGGAGATCAGGGGGCTGCCCCTCCTCACCCAAAGTCCATTCTTGGAGCTCCTCAGGGGCTCTGTGGCTTGTCTTTACTCCAATTGCTGATCTGTTATGCTTCATTTCCTCACTGTCTCCCAGCCATGTGTCCCCATTATTGTCCCTTGTCTCTGTATGATCCAGTTAGGGGACAACATGTCTTGAGCTGTTGGTAGTCCCACAGTCCTCTCTGTGCCCCAGCAGCTCCATGCAGGGGCCTCATCCTCTGGGCTTGGTGTGCCCATATGGAGTCTAGGCCGACTGCCCTTTCTCTTTATCCAACTAGGTTTGCTTCCGTCTGGTCAGTTCCTTTCCTCTATCAGAAGGTCTAGTGTCGTTCTCCACGGCACACACTTCCAGGGTGGGGGTCAGGCTGCTTCTGGTTGGGGCCAGCCCTGTAGTCCATAGTCCGGTCTTTTCATGCATTCCTCCACCTGTTACGTTGCCCTCCTGGTTTGGCGTGCCATGGTGGGATCTGTATACACCCTCCGATTCTGTGGAGACACAACCAAATACCCTCACCCTCCCCCTTTCCCCTTCTTTATGTTGGAATCACATGTACCTCCCTGGGTTTGGTCTGACCGCCCCCTGACTGCCTATGGTTCACCCGTACATTGTGAGATAAGTGTCTTTTCTTCTCTTCCTGCTGTGCTGATTGTACTTCCCTCAGGGGACTCACGGTATACTTGTCCTTTTGAGATTGGCTTATCTCGCTTAACCTAATTCCTTCCAACTCTTCCCATGAAACGAGGTATTTCATGTGATCATCTGTGCTCTTTAGTGCTGCGTAGTACTCCGTTGTGTGTATGTGCCAGAGTTTACTAATCCACACGTCTATTGATGGAAATTTAGGTAGTTTCCAACTGTTTGTGATTGGGAATTGTGCCACAATCAACATTGGAGCGCAGATGACTGGTCGTGTTTTGTTTTTTATTTCCTCTGGGTATATGCCCAGTAAGGGATGACTGGGCCATAAGGTAGATCAATTTCTATTTTCTTTAAGTATCGCTTATGACTAATGAACGGGAACACTTTCTCATGTGTTTGTTGGTCCTACGGGTCTCCTCCTGAGTGAAAGTTCTTTTCAGTTCTTTTGCCCACCTCCTTAGGGGGTTAACTGTTTTCCTCTTTTTGCAGCCCATGAGGGTGTTACACATTTTAGTGATGAACTCTTTGTCCGATGTGTCATTACTAAAATTCCTCTCCCAGTCTGTGGGTTGATTTGTTTTCCTCTTGGTGAAGTCTTTTGAGGCGCACAGGTGTTTTATTCTTATTCAATTCCATGTGTTGATTTCCAGATCACCTGTGTGTACCCTTCCCTATTGCAGTGAGCCTATGAGTTCCCTGGGCCAGTGCTCTGAAGTTTGTCCCGATTCCTTCCTTGATGGTACTGATGGTTTGGGCTTTTACTTCTCAAACCTGTCTTAGAATCAAACTCGTTTTATGCATATGAAATCTTTCAGCAACAGGTCTGTGGTAAAACTCCGAAGGAAAGGAGAGTAAAATAAACAATTAAACCCCACTGACATCTAATTGATTCTGACTCTCAGTGATCCTGTAGGGCAGAGAACTACTCCCTGGAGTTCAAGGCTTTAAATCTCTGAGAGTGGAAAGCCTGGCAGAATGGCTGGCAGGTCCAAACTGCTGACCTTTTTAGTTAGCAGCACATTTATGCCACCAAGGCTCCTTAGAGTAAAGTAGACACTCCTTAGAACAGGACTGTGCCTCCTTCTTAGCCTCTTAGCTTTTATTTTCTCCCATATATTCACCCAAATGTATTGAGAATCCATCATGTGGCAGTCAACTTCCCAGCACAGAGGAAACAGATCAATACGGCCTAGGAGCTGTCCTCCAGGAACTTATATTCAGGTATAGAATGAGTTTGAACCCAGCCTCGGGCCCTAGATAAGATCCTGTAGTGAACTGGAGCCTCAGGACTCAGTCTGCCTGGAAAGGAGCGTGAAGGCCCATGTGTAAGTGATCAGACAGAAAAGCAGGTGGGAGGGTTGTTTTAACCTGAGGGGGACAACCTGACCAGAGGCAAGGGGAATTGCAGGAGGTGGGCCTCAAAATGGTTGAAGCCATGTATGAACGACCTGGCTGCCTGGCTAGGAGACGTAGGGGGTCTTTGGAGGGTTTTAAGCAGAGAAATGACAAGTTCAAGACTGTGTTAGAGATAAGACTCTGTGGTCCTGAGAATACATTGGCAGAGGGGCCACAGAATGCAGGGAAACGTGCAAAGAGGGTGCCGTAGTCAGCCAATCAAGAAGTCGCCAGGCGCAAATGGAAAGAATACAGCCAAGAGACTGGTGAATGTGCTCCAGGCTCCTAACTTTGACCACCTTGGGGCAGACTGCTCCATGTATCCGAGATGGGAAATAGAGGAGCGAATCAGGCTGAAGGGGGGCGGGAGCACAGGTGCGTTCTGGACTTGCGGGTAGAGCTGAAGTGCCTGTGTTTGTGTTTCAGATGGTGACCCTCTTTCAGATGTGGGTTGTCCCCCTCTATTTCACAGTGAAGCTGCACTGGTGGAGGTTCCTAGGGGTCTGGAGCTTGTTCTCTGCCATCACTGCCTTCATCACCTTCCGAGCCACCCGAAAGCCTCTCATACAGACAACTCCCAGGTGAGAGTTGCAGGCTCATGGGGAAAAGCTCAGGTCCCCTGAGAGAATGGGTTGGGATGCATGGGAGGAGGGTGCTTTAGATGATTTGATCAGGGGTCCTCCAAGATAAGTTGATTAGGAGACTCACCACCCCTCTAGTCACAGATGAAAACCCCCAAATCTTTCCCCTACAGCGTGCTTACATGACATAAGGTTCATGTAAAAGTTTGTATTCAAAACCAACAAATAAGTGAATCTCAGTGACTGGTGTGGGTTTGTTTTAAATGTTATTTCTGCAACCACTTTTTTGATTTTTAATTAGATTTTCTGTTCCTGTTCTCTCATAATTAACATAGCATAGTTTTCCTTCAGAATTTTTTACTTACCACAATTTATAGTTAGGTATTATTTTTTTAGTATCTCCCCCACTAAGCTACAACTATGAAGTCAGGGACTACATCTGTTTTGTTTGTGACTGCATATCCTGGTCCTAGTATAGGCAGGTACATAGTGGGCTAACTTTGATCACTGTGAATTTTGGTTAAGTAAATGAGTTTCAACAAGTTTGCAGTTTTCCAGCAAATAATTCTTTCTTGGGTCATAAAGCACCCCCTTAAATACTTTTATGTTTGAACCTTTCAACCAACTTGTGAGATCATTTAATATCTATATTTTATTGAAAAAGATAATTTCTCATTTATTCCTTTAATAAGCATCTGCTGTGTGCCAGTCTGGTGGCATAGTGATTATGTATTGGGCTGCTAACTACAAGGTCAACAGTTTGGTACCACCAGCTACTCCATGGGAAAGAGATGGGCTTTCTACTTCCATAGAGAGTTAGGCCTCAGAAGCCCCTGGGGCAGTTCTGCCCTGTCCTGCCGGGCCACTGTGAGTCTGCACCCACTGGCTGCGTGTATGTGCCAGGCCTGGTGTTGAGTGCTGGTGATGCAGAGCTGGGTAAGACGGTCCTCGGCCTCGAGGAGTGCTTGGTGCAGGGAGGATATGGATGGGCAAGCACCTGCTGCAGTGCAGTTGGCGAGAGGTACAAGAGGCTTTTACACGGGTCCAGGAGAACCTAGCAAAGGGACTAGCTGGTTTCAGAAGTTGTGACTACCGGATTCAAAGTCTCCTCTATTGCTAACTGCTCTGTTCATGCCCCATAAGCTCAGCTTTACTCCCAAGTCTTTCTCCCGGCCTTCTAAGTTTCTTTGTACAAAGTAAAATAGATCTGGAGGTGGAGTTGGTGATCCCAAAGCCCCTGTCTGGCTGCAGGTGGTTACTTTAAAGACCACGTAGATGAGAATCGAGCCCTGCTACTTGTGGTTATATGACTTCACCATTCTGAGCCTGACTGCTCCACCCCAGAAATGGGATAATAACTGGTCTCTGGTATAGGATGATTATGAAGAAGTGGCATCCATCAAACATGGTACCCATCTCCAAGAAACAGTGTCAACCTCTGTCAGCCTAATATAGTAACACATTCATGAACATTCTCATTAATCCATTCAGCATTTATTGAGCATAATATAATATGGACCAGGCAACAAACTCTTTACGGTCCAGTGAGGTGGTTTCCCTCAGTTTCACAAATACACTGTCTCAGACGAGGAAAAGGACTTCCCTGGGATTACTCAGCTGCTGAGACTGACCAGAAAACCCACAGTAAGAATCGCTCGACGTAGGAGTGGATGCAAAAAGATAATAATGGATACAAGGGGATGTAGGGGACACAGGGTGTGGGATGGGGAGGTAGGGAGGAAAGGGGGATTTCAGGAGTAACTGATAAAGACGGGAAGGGGAGGGAGCATTAGAACGGATCATGATTGCATAAATCATCTTAAAGGCCATTTAACCATGGGGGGTGGGGGATGCTCTAAAGTTGATGTGGGGGTGATTGCACAATTCTCCACATGATTGAATGGTTGAACTATTGAATTATATGATATGTAAATTACTTGCCAGTAAAACTGTTGGGGGGAGCGGGGGGAGAAGAATTGGCTTGACTTGAATAGTAGAAACATTGCTTGACCTGATAGCAATATTTAACCTCATGTGTCCAACAGAAAGAGGCACTGCCTGGACCTGCCACGTCCTGAGTAAAGCCATAGTTTTCAGTCACTACTTCTTTGTGCAACAAACATGAGTTTGATCTACTGATTGAGATGCAAGCTTGTCTGAGGTCTTCAGTGCTGTCTCGGAAGGGCGAAGCCTCCTGTTGGGGATCTCTTTTTTTTCTTTGGTCCAAGACTAGGAAATACAAAGGACTGGCTCGCTAGTATATGGAGATGCTCCTGCAATTCCAGGAGTGACTGCTTTGGATAGGGCCTGGAGTTGCTCAAGAAGCCTCGTGCCACCGTCCGCTGTGGGAGCGAGGTGCTCTGGAGGCGAGGCAAAGTCTCTGCTGTACTAACTGTTTTCCCTTCCTCCAGGTTGGTTTATAAGTGGTTCCTGCTCATCTATAAAATCAGCTATGCCACTGGCATCGTAGGCTACATGGCAGTCATGTTTACTCTCTTTGGTCTTAACTTATTATTCAAGTGAGTACCTTTTGCTTTGTTTTTGCTGGTGTGAGAAGCGCCAGGGTGGTGTACCTGTCTTCCTAACTGTTTATTTATTAGTGGAAAAGGCTGTCATGACAAAAGGAAGCCTAATACTGACTTTAGCCACTCACTCATAATCTGTCCCCGTATCAGAACCATCTTCCTTGGCCACGTGGGTACTATTTTAAAACAATTTTTTAAATTAATCATTTTATTTGGGGGCTCTTACAAATCTTATAACAATCCATCATTCAACTGTATGAAGCACACTTGTAAATAGGTTGCCATCAACATTTCCCAAACATTTTCTTTCTACTTAAGCTCCTCTTTTTCCCCTCCCTCCCACGTGGGTGCTGTTTATTGCAGGTCCACACTGCCTGAAGGATGTTCCGTTCAACTAGATCAGGGATTGGCAGATGGCTCCCACAGGCCATATCCAGCTGACCACTCCCTTTTAAAATAAAGTTTTAGTGGGGAAGAGCCAGGCTCATTCATTTCTGCATTATCTGTGGCTATTTCTGTAATACAACAAGATTTGAGTAGTTGTGGCAGAAACTCTGGGCTAGGACCTAAAACATTTACAGGCTAACCCTTTATAAAAAATTACCAACCCTGGGTTAGAGTAGCTCTTGGGGCCACACTGGCAGCAGATCCAAGACAAGAAACAGCAGCAGGGCAGTGTCTGCAGGGAGTCTTCTCAGCAGCCTCAGGGCTGTTAAAACAACATGACAGCTGAGGTGACAAGGCTGTGAGAGCCACCCTGACTTAGCAGCCTCATTTCGCCAAGAAACATGTCCAATTTCAAGAAGGCACCACAGTCAAGTAAGCCCAAACCCACCAGGTATTTGTAGATAATTTACATTATCCACATGCTCACTGGCCTCTTCCTCAAACAGGGCACTGTAGGCAGGAGTCTTTTGAAAGTCTGTTTTAAGACAAGTAAAATAAGTTCCTCTTGACACAGTGCGGGGACATCCTTAGAATTCTTTTCTCCAGGAAAAGTGTGAAAGGGGAGTTAAGAGTGAAAGGGAAAATGGGTCCCAGAAAGGGTTAAAGAAATTCATCAATGTAGTCTTACATCAAAGAAAGCCAAGATATTGCTGTTACCTTCCTAATCTGTATAGTGAAAAGAAAAAAAAAGATCAAGATTCTCCATCATATTCTAAAAATTCCCTCTCACCCCCACCCCATAATTGCCATTTCTTGTTACTTGATTATATGGGAGGAAAAACCAAATTGAGATTCTTCCTTGTGTTTATGTCATTGATTGGGCTATTGGTATCAAAGCAATCATGTAGTGTCAGTGGGGTAAATATTATAAGGTTGATGAGCAAAGTCAGCGCTCTGTATATGCCTTTCTGTAATAAACGTAGAGCCCTGGTGGCAGAGTTAAACGCTCAGCTGCTGACTCAGGTTGGTTTGTACCCACCCTGTGATGCTGCAGTCTGCTCCCTTACAGCCACATCTAGGAAGCCCCATGGGGTAGTTCTCCTCTCGCAAGTAGGGCTCTGTGCCTTGGAAAGCAGCCCAGTGGCACCTAACAACAACAACAACAACATGCTAAATATATTTTACAATCTTAAAAGAACAAAGGTCATTCTTAGCACAAATATTTTAAGTTTGCTCTAGTAATCATAGACTCAGCTACAAAAACAAAACCCACTTTCATCAAAGGGATTTTGACTCATAGTGATCCAATAGGGTTTCCGAGGCTGTAAATTGTCGTAAGAGCAGATAGCCTCATCTTTCTCCTAAGGAGTAACTGGTGGGTTTGAACCACTGACCTTACAAGAAGCCTCTTATTACAGGCAAGCTCTTTATCCTTCTCAGTACATACACTTGGACCATAATTTAACATTAACAACATAATGTCAAATATGGATAGGTATAACTCAAACTTTCATGTTAACGTATGTAAATATTACTAACCTTTATAATTTTTTTAAAATTGTGGTTGGAAGGTTTTCCTGAAAGGGCTTAAATAGTATTTTAAGCTTCCTGGGTCAAAAGGCAAACATCAAAGCAAGATTTATAGACTTAGAAACCCTAAGAAGTGGTTCTACTCTGCTCGTTTAGGGTTGTAATGAGTCAGGATCAGTGGACTTATATAACAAGAGGGAATCCCTGATTGGTGTAAATGGTTAAGCAGTCTGCTCCTGACTAAAAGGTTAATGGTTCAAATCTATCCAGAGGCCCCTCAGAAGAAAGGCCTGGTGAGATCTACTTTTGAAAGGCCACAGCCATGGAAAACCCTATGAAGCATAGTTCTCTTTGCAACAATGGGCTTCAGTGAGTCAGACTGACTCAGTAGCAGCTGGTGTGTTTTTTCCTTTATGTAGCAAGAGAAAATGGTCAAGCCCCACCTGGTTTGTCTGGGTGACCTGAGGGGTGGGTGCGCTTCTCAGAAGGAAGGGCTTGACAAGGGGTGTGGCCAATGTGATCATTACCCAATGACGCCCAGATTCTGACGTAGCCTTCTTTCTTGGGGAGCTCAGCCTTTGCGACGTGGGAAGCTAGCTAGAGGCAGAGCATCGTAGTGAGTTTCCAACGTCCAGACTAAATTCCCTTGCTCGGTGCCCAACAGTTTCCAACAGCTGAGTCCCCAGCATAGAAATGTTGTCCAGTGTGTGCTGTGGACACCTGCAGGGAATGGCCACCAGCAGGGAGTCAGCCATTGGGAGCCAAGTCGAGAACAGGATGTCCTCACTTGGTCTCCACAGCTCACAGTATTTACTAGCAAGCAGTGGCCACCGGCCATATGCAGATAGGCAGCTGGTCAAATTTGGCTGTAGTTTGCCAATCCCTGGCTTTCGCCCTGACCTTCTAGCCATAGATCCTGCCTCATATGGCACAGAGTAGTGACCAAAGCACTTGAGTCTCCGCCAGGGCGGGCCTTCCTGACCACCCTGCTCCCTTACAGAATCAAGCCCGAAGATGCCATGGACTTCGGCATTTCCCTCCTCTTCTATGGCCTCTACTATGGAGTTCTTGAACGGGACTTTGCAGAAATGTGTGCGGACTACATGGCGTCTACCATAGGGGTGAGTTCACCTGGCCTCCATACTGACCCTTGCTGTCTTCAGAGAGCTGAGGAGAGCATGCCTATATGACGGAGGAGAAAGGCGCTGAAGATTGAGTATAATGCATGGGAACTCCTTCCTGATAACTTGGAAATCCAGATCTCAGATGTACCTTGGAATTTATAGCTTTAGAGCCATTACAGGAACGAGCCCCTAAAAAGGAGAAAGTATTCAATTAGCAAATTTATATAATGTGCCTGGGCCACAAAGAAGGCATTAAATAAAAAATGGTTGTCAGATGGCACAGGACTGTGCCAATAGTGGAACCAACTTGAAGGCAGCTAGTAACATCAGCTTGTGTCAGGGCACTGTGCTAGGTGCTGAAATCACAAAGTGCACCAAAGTATACACGGTTTTTGCCCTAAAGGATTTTACTTTCTAGTGGAGAGATGGATAGTAAAGTGATAAGTGGACAAATAAATAGAAAAATACAACTTTCCTAAGTAGTATAATAGAGTCGTGATGCGATGAACAGAAATAATAGTCCAGGGCAGGTATAATAGTTTAGTTATCAACCTGTGGGTCGAACGGCCCTTTCACAGGGGTCGCCTGATTCATAGCAGTAGCAAAATGACAGTGATGAAGTAGCCATGAAAATAATTTTATGGCTGGGGGTCACCACCACATGAGGAACTGTATTAAAGGGTAACGACAGTAGGAAGGTTGAGAACCACTGGTCGAGGGTCTCAAAGGTAGCATCCCTGAAAATGTGACTTGTGTTGAGACTTGAACAATGTGCAGGCGTTAACTAGAGGAAGTAGCTGAGGTGCATACGAGACAGCGTGTCTGAGGGCCATGGCGTAGAAGAAAGGGTGGGAGGTGTTGGGGAAGTAAGACTAGGTTGCTTGTAGGGATGAGAATACGGTAGAAATGACCAGAAAAAGAAGGAACTGGATCAGTGGCCGAAGCAAGGATTTTCACTGGGAAGCTTTGAAAGTATTGTCAGGTAAAGAAGGACATCAGATTTGCATTTTGAAAAGATTGCAGCTTCTGGGAAGAAAACAGATTGGAGAGAAGTCTGCAGATAATGGATCATTAGACATTTCCATTTCCAACTTTCTAAGGAAGTGTGCTGGCATTTTCCAGTATTTGTACTGTTTCACAGTCCCAGCCTCTGCGGCATTTATTGAGTATCTGACTGAGCTTCAGCTCATTCACAAGACTGGCTGCTTTTTAGTGATTCCAGACCCTGCATCTGTCTTCTCGCAGCCTACTTCTGAGTCAGTGCCGTCTTTGGACCCACCAACCAGAATCCACATCTCAACAACTACTTCCTTCAAATATGTAGAGACTGCGTGTTCTTTTTGAAGGAAAAAAAAATGTTATCTTCCTTTTTCCATGTACCTCTTCCTCCCCTGACGCCCCAGACCAGGCTTCTGAAACCTGCTGTGTTTCTGAGGAGGTAGCTCTTCCCTACATAACTGACGTTGAGAAAGAATGACTGTCCTTGTCACGGGAAACTGCTTCTGCCTCTGCTGACAAGCAGTGTCACTTCCCTAGTGTCACTAGGGTTGGGGACCTAGGTGAGTCACCAGGAATTGCTCATTGTTTTCCACAACAGATACTGTTGGGACTTGACCACAGACCCCTGCTGGCACTCTGCTGTGTGCCGACCCATGGGGCCAGGCTGGGGTGCGGAAGAGGGCATGCTAGCATACGTTGAAGGGGTGAACGGCACTACCTTTTAGGTTCTTTCCAACCCCGCGATCCCTTGTGTTTTCTTATTTCTGCCAAGTCTTTGGTAAAGTGGGCCTTGCTCCATTCAGGATAACTTGGGTCCCTGAGCCATGGTGACCTGGATTTCAGAATATCCCTGGCCTGGAGCCAGAACCTGATCTGGGTTTTGGGGAAGACAATTCAAGAAAGGCAGAAAAATCCAGGTTTATATGAGTCCATCAACCAGTCTGTTCAAGTATTTATTCAAGCAACAGTGACCATTTTACCTTGTACCAAGTATGACTGAGAACAGCCTGTACAGGTACCACCATTGCTGCTGCCCCTACCAGTGCTGCCACCCAGGAACCTTCGCATCACAGTCCTTTGCCCATTCTCTGGTTCCAGATGCCTGCCTAGAGTCATTGTTGCTTTTAGAGCCATTGCCCCTACCAGACTTCAAGGTCACACACTAGGTCTTCTCTGAGAATGGTGGGATCTTTAGAGATCCCGGTGATTGATCCATCTCAGGGTTCCTGGAGGTGACATCGTGAGGTCTTATAATGATACGACTAATACCTTCACTACTTTTCCCAACTCTGTAGTCCCCCACACTACTCTGTTTAGTCCCTAACAGCTCCTCTTTCCTTCTGACATGGGAAAATCTGTAAGCTAAACTTGAATCAGCCTTAAGTTGAGTCAAGGAGACCCCAGGTGACATCTCTTTTTTTTCACATCCAAAAAGGCATGGGTAGTCATAGGCAGCAGGGGCAGTGATTGTGGAACAAGCCTGCTTTCTGGGGCTTCCTCCTCTGAGACAGTCCTGGGGATGGTGGTAGAGAAGATGTTGTCCGTGATGCAGCGGGCTGTATTTTCTACTTCACATTTCCCTCTAACTCTGCCTCAGATTTACCTCATGAATCCTCAGAAGGTCCAGGTAATACCAGGGCAGGACGACCTGCCCATTCATCTGATTTGAAGTAATGGAAAAAGAGGTAGGGGTTTGAAATTAAGACAGCCCCGGCTTCAAATTCTAGCCCACTTTTAATTAGCCTTATGCTCTTGAACAAGTTACTTTACCTCTCTGACTTGACTTTACAGCAACGCTGAGTTGTTGTAATATCACCCTTATTGCAAGGATCAGATGAGATGTCACAGAAAGCCCTCGTAGAATAGCCTGGTCCATAGCAGTAACTCATTTGACGGTAGTGGTCGTAATGATAACTACTACTTACTGAGTACTCATGGACACGTACAGTACATATTGTTATCTGTAATCTTCTGTCTTGGAAGAAGGACAGCTCGAATTCTCCTTGGATTTGAGGGTGGCAGGACTTGGTCTCGTGTACTTTGTTCCTATCACGCAGAGCGACCATGCCTTGGGAAAGGACCCCCGTGTTTGGTAAAGCCAAGGTCAGTGAGAGACGGGAAGACCTTCAACAAGCTGGGTGCACAATGACTGCAACCAGAGGCTCAGAAATACCAGTCGGGCACTGGGGCAGGACGGGCACTGCTTCCTTCTGTGTCCACAGGGTCACTGTGAGCCCCAGCTCACTGACCTCTGGAGCCTGGGGCCTCTGTAGAGCTCACCTGTCTCTTTGTTGTGGCCACACGTGGCGTGAAGTGCTTTTACGCCGCTTCCCACTCGGGGACGCCGTGTGACAGGTAGAAGTGCCCTGAGGAGTCCTGGGCTGGACTCTCCTCGGGAGGAGAGCGATCATCAGGGCTTTGCTCCCACGGATCGCCAGCCTTCAGAGTAGCCGAGGCGTTTGGGGAGCACATCAGCTCTAGTCACCAGGGCGCCTGAAGCCAAAACCTACAACATTCAGAATGTTCAAAGAACAACTTAGGAGTAATTGCCAACCCTCCCTGATATGTGAAGTAATTCTAGACTGCTCTGTGGCATGGAATCTTCTTTGCTATGACCCTGAGAAATGGGCATTTTACTCAGTTTTTCGGAAGAATACTCCTGAAACTGCCTGCTTGAAGTAACTAGGCGCAGGGCACGGGGCTTCAGTGCCGCCTCCAGCTCCCTGCACCGGTTCAAGACTCTCCTCCTTCGAGCATCGGTCTCCACATCTGCCAGGAGAAGAGAGTAGACTGAAAGCACCTCAGGCTCACACAGCACAATTGCCTGTGACATTCCTGATGGAACCCCTGTCCCGTGTTAGCTCCTGTGTTTTCTCAGCCTGCCCGGTTCTTTGTGAGGTTGGGGATGGTGTCCTCCTACAGAGCTCATGCCTGCTTTTGGGGGAATGTCTGTTTCTGACCTTCTCTGCTTGTACCTCCTCCCCCCTCCCTTCCTGCTAAGCTGATGTCCGGGCCTCCTGTTGTACTAAAACTCTCAGTTGCATAAAAGGAGGAACTAAAAGCCAAATGGGAATTCCCACAATGATCTGATCTATAGTTACACGTCTTGCATTTGCACCCATCTCTTCCTCCTTCTACCGTCCAGTTAACAGTGGGGTGAGCATCCTTTCTCCTGTCAAAGGCCAGTCCTACCTGCACTCTGGATCCATTATCTTCCTGCCTCGGGGCATCGTATGCTGTTGATTAGTCCCGTTCTCATTGTGACTTTCATGGCTCCCTATGTATGGGTTCTTCCACTAACCTTTTAAGCTATCTTCTAAATGCAACAACAACAACAACCCTTTGCTTGACACACTTTCCCCTCACGCGCCCTGACCTGTTTCCCAAATGGTTGTTGTTGGTAGGAGCCGTCAAGTCAGTTCCGACTCACATTGACCCTGTACACAGCAGGATGGAACACTGCCTGCGCCTGCGCCAGCCTCACCACTGTCCTTAGACGTGAGCCGTTGTTGCAGTCACTGTGTCAGTGCATCGTGTCAAGGACTTCTTCCTCTCTTTCTCCGCCCTCCCTTTACCAAGCATGGTGTCCTTTTCCAGGGACTGGTCTCTCCTGACAGCATGTCCAAAACACCATCCTTACCTTAAGGAGCATCCTGGCAGTACTTCTTCCAAGATAGATCTGTTTGTTCTTTTGGCAGTCTACAGAACTTTCAGTATTCAGTGCCAACAAGCTGAACTTAGGTATGGTTCCTATTTTCTTTAGATCACCTCTCATTGACTCCTTAGCCCATTCTAATCTGGCCTCTGTTCATCTGCCCCTTTGTATTAGGTTGCCATAGCGAACATTAATAACCACTAACGGAATGGCTGAAGTCTAAGATTGAGCTGTCGGCAGGGCCGGGTGCTCAGAAAGCTGTGAGAGTGGATATGTACTATGTCTTTCTCTTGTCACCTGGTGTTGCCTCCAATCCTTGGCGTTTCTTGACTTAGATGCATTGCTCTGTCTCTGCCTCTATTGTCCTGTGACTTTCTCCCTGTGTGGATGGACACCAGTCATACTGGATTAGGACTCACCCTAATGACCTCGTGTGGACTTGATTATACTTGCAAAGACCTTATTTCCCAATAAGGTCTAATTCACAGTACCAAAGGCTAGAGCGTCAACAAATATTATGCGGGGACAAAGTGAACTCCTAACACTTCTGAAATGACTTTTTCTCTGGCCACTAGTCACTGATTTTGGTGGACTTCTCTGTAATTGCTGCACAGCAAACTCATCCTCTCCCTGGTGATGCTGTGGTGTAAATGTCAGACTGCTAACCCCACTGCTTTTGTGTCATTTCTCTGTCTTGGTTTTCTTTCTGTCTCCTTTGCTGGCTCTTCTTCTTCTGTCTTAGTTTGTCTGAGCTCAGACCTCAGCCATCTGCTCTACTCTTTGCCTAGGCATTGCCTGTTTGTGTTCCAGTGGCCTCTAGAACGCCTCACTGAGCTCCAGACCATTGTTAGTCAGCCTTCTATTTGGCGTCCGCCCACTTTACTCCATTTTCATGACCACCAAAAAGCCCAGTCATTATTTAGCACAGACTACTGTCAACTATTGCTTTCTCAAAGACGGTGATCTTCCGACTGGGCCCTCTGAATCCACCCATTCTTACAGCCTCACAAAATTGAGTCTCCTCACCTTCCTCCCTACCTCCCACCGCCTTCAAGTGACTTCCCATTTCAAGGCCGGTGTCCTTGCTGGGGCCACAGGTTTCCGGGTTTCCCTCTGCCTCAACTCTGCAGCCACTTCAGACCGGTCCAGTTTCTCAAGTTCCTTCCTGCCTCAGGGCCTCTCCTCTCCACTCCTGCCCCTTGTCATCTGACTCTCCCACCCATCCTGTAAGGCTCCCCCACAAAGGCCATGCCTGCAAAGAAGCCTTCTCAGGTGCTCTGCCAGAAGCCCCTTTCCCTTCCTTGTGCAGGGTTCTTACTTAACCCGTCTAATGGTTTTAGTTCTTGCTTCACATAGGTACTTTTTAACATCCGTCTCCCTAGCTAAACGGAGAGCCCAAGAGGACAGACGTAGTTCTGTGTTTTGCCAGCATTTATCCCAAGTACTGAGTCCAGTGATTGGCACTTAGTCGGTACCCAGTCTCGTCTGTTCATAGAACTTTGAAACAAGAGTCTGGGGAGGTTAAGCTGAACGACGTCGCCCAGGGCTTTGCGCTGTGCGTGCGTGCCTCCCCTGTGCTTCCCGTAACTGTCATCCTGCTGGGTCATCCTGACTTGACAGCCTTGGCTGGTGATGGATTGAAGGCGCCAATGGGATTTGACCCTGCCCACCTGCTGCCACAGCAGCAGAGCTCTTGAAACCCAGGACTTGACAGGCATTTTCTTAGACTTTCCTCCTCCCAGTCCCCTCTGATCCTGTGCCCTTGGTCCCAGGGTCCTGAAGCAGAGAACTCCAGCATGAATCGTAGTAGCTCTTCCTCAAGGTTCCAACCCATCTCCTGAATCGGGATTGATGTTACAGCTTAAGTGTCGGTTGAAGGATTATCACTTGGGACCCCTTGTGTGTGTGTGCCCTGACTTCTTTTTCTGTGCTTCTATTGTTAGTTGCTTGTGGGAATTCCCATTTCCTTGGTTATTCTCTAATTATAAGTAATGCTTAAATGAGGATTGGTATACATGAAGCTTTTTTGACATTTCCACTGGTGTTTTAAACTCCTTAAGGTCTAATGATTGGTCATGGGTGGCTGTTTGAGACCTCGTGCCCAGTGTTGTCTGAAGACGTGAACCAATGCTGCCTCAGTGTCTGCTGCACATGCGCCCTCTGCACTGAACAGCCTCACACTGCATGGCTCGCGGCTGTAAATCTTGAGGACTAGATGTGGTCCGTCTCTGACAGACAGTCTGGCTGCAAACCTTGCCCTGTCCCTGATGCCACGTCAGCACAGTGTTCGGGTTCGATGAGATGTCACTTCCTGGCACCTCTTTGCTCTACCTCTCTCCAGCACCCCTGCCCAGCAGAGTCATGCTGGAATTGGCGTGTGAGAGACGCCCCTGGCTCCGAGGCCTCCTCTTGCCCTTTTGCTTCGTGTGCAGACACCAGACCCCCGTGTGCCTTCCACGGTAGCTGGTTTTCACAGCGCTTACCCATTCTCCTCTTGCCCTTCTCCAGTTCTACAGCCAGTCAGGTATGCCGACCAAGCACCTGTCGGAGAGCGTGTGTGCCGTGTGCGGGCAGCAGATCTTTGTGGATGTCAGTGAAGAGGGCATCATCGAGAACACGTACAGGCTGTCCTGCAATCACGTGTATCCTTCCTCGGACCCCCGACCAGCTGGGAGTGGGGGTGGGGGGGGAGTGCTGGTCCAGACCTCTGAAGGAGGAGTGTCGGAGGAAGGCACAAGTGAGGGTGGTGTTTCCTGCAGGAGAAGGGGCCCTGGGATGCACCCTGTTACCACACTCAGCTGCGAACCCAGAGGCACCTTGGAAGAAGGGCCTGCCAGTCTACTACGCAAAGAGCAGCCATGGAGACCCTGGGGGCGCAGTCCTGCTCTGACTGGAAACCCACTTGATGGTGGCTGGCTCTGCCTCTCCAGAGAAGCTGACTCCAGGGGTGGCAGTGCCGGCCTTCCTCTCCTTTCCCATGGAGTGGACCCACTGTCTGTGAAAATGGGTGACAGCCTGGCCAGATCACCCAAGATTCTATCCGTCCCAAGTGAGTGGATGCCTCTCGCTGAACCCCTGAATAGCACGGGTCTCCTCCTCAGTTCCCAGCCAGGGCCTCTGTTTGGCCTCATATCCAGTACTAGAGGACAGGCTGGTTCTCCTCGCCTCAAGGCGTGGCCCAGGACAGCACAACTAATGGGACGAGGAGTCAGAGTGGGGCCATGTCGTCAGCGGGAACCATTGCGTTCCTGAGGACTGCCATGGCTACAGTATCTTCCTAGCTGCGCATCATTTCCCTTAACCACTGGTGCTTAGATTCCACGAGTTCTGCATCCGTGGCTGGTGCATTGTGGGAAAGAAGCAGACGTGTCCCTACTGCAAAGAGAAGGTGGACCTCAAGAGGATGTTCAGTAACCCGTATCCTTTGCGTTCTTCCTGAAGTGGGCAGTGGAGAGACAGTACTGGCTAATAGTTTTCCAAAAGCCTTTAATTTTGATAGGAGAACCTGGCACCCTGCCTTCTGCCCCAAACCTGCTCCTTGTCTACATCGTTCTCTTCATGACTTGTAGGGGATGGGAGGGGGGGGCGGGAGTCGAGCAGCTCGGCAGTGGTGTTGCAGTCATGGTTGCATTCGGGCTCGCTGTGCCTTCCTTAGGCATGCTGTCCGAGGGACCAGCTTGGTGCCTTGACAGGGCCTGCAGAGGGGCCCCTGCCACCATCCACTGTCGGCACACTGTGCCACCGCTTCCTACCCAGCCAGCCCTCCTGACTGGGGTCTTGCCCTGCTCTTCCACCTCAACCTGTATGCTGGAAACTTCCCAGCTCCCTTCCCTTGCCCTGTGATCCGGCCGCTCCTAGTCCCTTGCTCAGCTTTGCAGGGGGGAACACTGCCCCTGCCTGCTCCCACGGGCTTGAAGAGAAGCCTCTGGCCGGCCTCCTTTACAGGCCCTCCTTCAGGAAAGTGAAGTAATTGGCCATGCTGAGACTTAGTGCTTCCCCAGTTTCCCCTCAAGTGCACACCCCCCACCCCACCCCGAGCTGGGATTCCCCATCTTTCGCATCTGGCCCTCTCGGCCAGCAGGGGCCTCAGGGCAAACAGAAGGGCACTCACCTCCAGGCTCTCTCGGCTTGGCTTCCCCAGTGCTGTGGATGGGGACTCTGCCCTCCCAGGGGCCAGTAGTTAGGCTAGCCTTTTGGACTCTCCTTCCCTCCTGCTCTCTGTAAACTCAACTCCTTTCTTAGAAATGCTTCCATTTCGAACATTAGAAGAAACTTAAACGTTATCTTATCCCACTCCCCCTGTATGAAAAGGCTTCAAAAATTGAATTAAATGAGTGGGAATTTTCTATTGTTTCCACTTTGCCTCATAACCTTCTTACAAAATCAGGATCATTGTCTTCCTGTCGCCAGCCACTGCCCCACGTACACCCACAGAGGCCTGGGCCACATGTTCTGGCTCGGACAGCCATCCGAGTTGCAGTGGCGGGCCTCCTTGCACGTGGACAGCTGGTTTCACCGCGACTGTCCCCTCAGCCGCCTGCCCCCGCTCTCTGGGCCCAGCCCTCCAGCATGAGCTGCAGAGCCGCTGGGCAGACAGCTGAGCCAGGGGATCCCCTCCATCCCCATAGGGGTTCGTACACACAGCCTCTTCCTTAGCATACTGACAGCTGGGAGCGGCCTCACGTCATGTACGGGCAGCTGTTGGATTGGCTCCGATACCTGGTAGCCTGGCAGCCTGTCATCATTGGCCTGGTACAAGGCATCAACTACATCCTGGGCCTGGAATAGTCACAAGCAGCACAGCAGCAGCAAACTCACCCACCCACCATGGACCTTAGGGCCCTCCTCCCTACCCACAGAGACCTCCTGGGCGGGACAGACTCAAAGGGACGCTCGGGCCACTCAGGACCCCCTTCAGCTGTGTCCGGGCTGGGCAGGGGTGTGATGGAGAACCAGCAAGCGGGCTGCCAGCAGTGGGGGTGCTTTTTAAAAGAAAACTATTTTGATGAATATATTTAAAAAAAAACAACACCTTTTTTTATTGTGGAACATAGAAATTGCCCCGCCTCCTCCTGGCCTCACCTTCCCTCTTGGCAGGGTATAGTAGACCCACATTTTTTATTTAAAGGGGCCTTGTTTCTGGCGGGAGGCATTGGTGAGCTCTTGCTGGTTCTGGAAGGAACTCTAGCTGACCGGTGCTGCAGCGGAGCTCCAAGGGCTGAAGTGCCCCGTGCAACCCCGTTGGGGACCTGGAATGGTGGTGTATGTGACCTTGCCCCCGCTGTTCTACGGTAGGGGAGCCCTGTGACTTTTTACACAAGGGGAGCCTCGGGGCTTTATAATTCGCTGATGAATTTGGGGGCAGCTGAGAGCAGCAGCAGCCTGGGCCCACCTGCCCCTGTACAGGGCTAGACAGCAGACACGGGCCACCGGGGCTGCTGCTGGCAGCAGTGATCAAGGGCCCCTTGTGCAAGCGTGATTCACCCTGGAAGTGGTGACATGTGCCAACAGCTACTGTGATAGGCTGCCACGTCACTTCCTTCTCTGAAAGCTAAGTGTGTGTGTGCATGTGTGCGCGCACGCAGAGACCTTGACAGATGGCAGCTTCTCCCGGCCGCCATCCTGCTCTTGCAGCTGCAGGGGGATTTCTGCCCAGGGAGTACCCCGTTGTGAGCCTTGCCAGCCATGGATCTTGCCAAACGCGATGGGCAGTGGGTGATGGGGAGAGAGGGCCTGGTGATCATGGGTTCTGAAAGGGGGCTTCCAGGCAGCCCCGAGCCCTGGTTCAAGAACCTGAACAAGCAGGAGGGCAAGTGGGCTCTTCCACGCTGGGCTCCTAAGGACCATGGCCCAGCAGGGCGAGCCAGGCGGGATCTTGTCTCTGGTCTGAATAAAGCTCCGTGAGCTGGGTTGGAAAGCCGAGCTTCCCTCTTGCCTTTCTTTTCCCACCTCATCGGGTACCTTGCCCTGGCTTCCTGTGCTGTGCCCACTGGAGAGCAGGGCCTGGGGTGTGCTTAGCCCTGGCCTGCATCCGGAAGTGTACAAGTGCTCAGGTCCTGGGGAGCATCACGGGCCCGGCACTTCCCCCACTCCCCAGGCCACCCTCCGCTGTGGCTTCTTAACCAGCGAGGCCTGGATGCTCTCACTGCCCCTGTCGCGTGTGGACCCCACCTTGGAGAGCGGACGGGAGCGGGCTGGTCAGCAGGCACGGAGGTCACCCTCCCACTTTTGTCCTCCCTATCCCGTCAGGCTTAGGCGAGAAGCTGAGGCCAGGCTGTCCGTGGCTGCTTCCATACTCCCTAGTCCGGAGACCTCCCTGGGGCCCGACCCTGCCTTTGGTCACACTGTAGTCGTGTTGGCCCTCTGCCCTCCCTCGCCCACTCTTCAAGATGGGACTCTGAGTCTGCCGTCTCAAGCAGCTGATGTAGTAAGAGGCCTGAGGCAATTCTTCCCTACAACTGGGTCAGTCTGGACATGCTGGATTTTATTTCTGGCAAAGACTACATTAGAAACTGGAATCTATCTGGCTTTTCCATTAAAAACCCTATGTCAACAACAAAAAACGGGGTTAGAGTGGATTTTCTCAGATTTACTCCTCCTCTGGCCCATGGGAGGATTACCATGAATCAGAGCAGACAGTAGCTGGTTCCTGGGCTTTTCTGCTCCTGGTACACCTGGCTTCCCCGGCCCTGTATCCGGCACTCCTGCCCTCATGCCACACACCTCAGGCCCTCCCAGCCCTTCTCCCTCCCTCCCTCCATATACACGTGCATTAAATTACTGTCCTGGCGTTACCCAGCTTC